AGCAGGGAGCCTGCTTCCCTTCCTCTCTCTCTGCCTGCCTCTCTGCCTACTTGTGATCTCTGTCTGTCAAATAAATAAATAAAAATCTTTTAAAAAGAAAAGAAAAGAAAAGCTCTCGGAGAGAGCATTTCAGGCAATGGGAACAGTGAGAGCAAAGGTCCTGAGGTGGGAATGTGTCTGGATTGTTTGCAGTGCAGCGGGGAGGTCGGTGTGGCTGGAGGGAGTGAGGGAAGGAAGGGAAGATGAGGGTGAGAAGGTCAGACCATGAGGCTCTGCAGGGAGGGCCTCCGGTTCTCAAAGAGGACTTCGGCTTCCCTCTGAGCCAGACGGGAGGGTGGGGTTCCTTACCAGAGCGTGAAGTGAAGCAAGCTCTTTCTATCACCAAGAGGTAAACTGGAGTGTGGAGGCGGGGTGCAGCTGAGATTCACTGACATCTGCTTTAGGGGTTTGAGCGCTGCTCAGCAGGGAGGCCTGGGGGCGCCAGAAGGCCACCACTATTCGAGAGGCGCTGGGAGCGCGGCTTCAGAACGCTGGACAGCGCCCCGCGCGTTGCCGGGAGACCAGGGACGCGGCGGCTCTGAGGGCGGGGCCTTGGGCTTGCGTCCTTTCCCAAGCCGTTGGCTGTGAGCGCCAGGCGGGAGACACTTATGGGGGCAGGACAGAGGGCGGAGCCTACGACAGCGCCCAATTGGAGTTCGCTGACGGCACAGGGGCGCGGCGTCTCGTGGCAGGGACTGCTGGGAGTGGCTCTCGTAGAACACTTCCGTTCCATTTGGGGTCTGGTGATTGGGCATAACGGGGGAGGGCGGCCGACCTAAAGGCGAATAGAACGTGGCTGGGTAAGGGAGATGTTGTCAGAGGCGGGGCCTGAAGCCGGCCTCTGGGCATCTAGCGTGGAGGTCCTCGCACAGGTTCGAGGCGTGGCTGGAGGTTCTTCCCACTAGATCGCCCAACCTCCCCTTCCCTGGGAACGCCACAGTCGTCCAGGAACTAGGTAGTTGGCTTTAAGAGGCTGGTACTGAGGTCTCAGGACCCAGAAGAGAAGTCGGGTTTCTGGGCAGGGAATGGGAATCCAGAACCTCTGAAAGAGGAGCGGGGGATTCCGAATACCCCTAACGTTGAGATAGAGTACTTGGAGGCCGGAGTTGGCGGTTGTCCCAGGAGGCTGGAGTGTGTGTGCTCTCCGGTTTATCCAGCCAGGGATGAAGGCTATCATTCCGTGATATTCTCACTCTCACAGCCCAGTACCAAGTAGGCTGAACTTAGCTGTCAGCTTCTTGGGAAACGCTGGGAAGGGCATGGGCCCAGGACTTGTGAAAATGACTTCCATGGCGTTTTAGGCTTTTCTGCTTGTCTCCCAACCACAGAACAGAGTGCCTGCAAATAGGGGCCCTCTACTTCTTGTGGCCTGAGGCAATGCAGTGTTCCTCTCTGAGCCTGTCTGCCCCATCTGGGGCATGCAGGTGTCACCCCTCTCAGATCTGGGAGCAGTTTCTTCACTTAGCCCAATGGCCTAAATCACCTGAACCTCAGGTTCAGATGCTCCACGACTTGAGTCTCTTTGGTGATCAGCTGGCCTGCCTCCTCACCTCTTCCCACACACCTATTCTCTGCCCAACAGCCAAAATGTTCTGAGGCACGACTGAGCCTGGGTTCTCCAGAGCTCAGAATCTTTCCGTGGCTCCCCACTGCCCTCAGGATAAACGTTAGAACTCCACTCCTCGGCTGCCAAGGTCCCTGTAGTGGCTGCCCCCACGGACACCAGCCACACTCCTCACCCTGCAACTGGAATGGCCCACCCACCTGACTTCAGCCGTCTGAAGTCACTTCCCAACACACAGCTGAGCTTCCCCGTGCACCCTATGACCTGGGCTCACCCTCCCTAACACACCTTCTGGTTCCAATTTGACTGTCCGGTCTTTTTTGAAACACAGAAAGCCTTCCCTGACACTCCCTGCACAAGCTGGGCCAGGGCCCTCTTGGAACCTGGAAGCTCCATGAGTGCAGGACCCAGGTCCATACTCCCAGCACCCCGTACAGGACTAATACATACACGCCACCCAATAAATACATGTGGAGTGAATGAAACAATGAACACATGAAGTTTCCATTTATTCTGGGATGGGTTAGAATGAGCATCCAGGCCAAGAAGGCTCGCTGGTGTGTGGCCCATAATCGTGTCCAGAAGTCTCAGGATGGGTTTGCAAAGGGCACAGATCGCGTGGGGCTCACACCTGCAGACTGAATCCTGAGGCTGAGCCCAGCGGCAAAAGGCCAGGCCAGGACCAAGTCAGTGCTCCGGGGTGGGACAGGCCTTATTGACTACCCAAGAATGGTCAGTGGTCAGAGGGACATTTCCCTGCTGGAGTGGAAGCAACTGGGTGTCAACTTCCAGGTCAGACTGGACCCCAGCCCATAGGAACACCACCAGTACCCTAGTGATTCTGCTCAATGCAGAAAAGGTGGAAATCCTGAATCTGTGTCCCATTACTGCTGAGGGGCCCCCTTTGGTCCCTAGATCTCAACCACCCCACACCTCCCCCACGGGATCAGCTAAAATTCCCTGCAAGGCCCTGCCCCTCTGATGTCATCTCAGCCCCGCCCCCCGACATGTCCAGGTGTTCCCTCAGGCATGAGGCCTTTCTCCCTGTCTCCAAAGGCTCCCGGGCCCTCTGGGGTAATGTCCAGTCCTGGGTCACTGACCCTCGTGGTCTATCCACCAAGTTAAGTACGCTACCCGGATCGGCTTGCTGAGTAAGCCTGTGGGCCAGTGGCTCTTCCTGCTGAGGCTCCTGGCGATCTCTGCTCACAACTGAAAGACGCAGGACACCCTCCTCTGGCGGCACGCAGGCTGAGGCATCTCTCTGTTGCCTGCCGTGTCCCTGGCCCAGGCGGCCCTGGAGAAGAACCTCAGTGAGAACCTCCTCCAGGATGGCTTCCTGTGTGTAGAGGGCCACAGGCCCAGAAAGGCCTCGGTCAGCTCGGAAGGAGTGCCACGCTGGCACCCAGGCCTCGTCCATGCTCAGTGTTGGCCACACTTTCCCGAACCCAGCTTCCGGGGACGGCAGGTCTTGCGGGCTGTGATAGTGTTGCTGGCCAGCTGCATCCCAGTGCCATTAGCACCAACGAGGTCCCCAGTGAGGGTGCCAAGGGGTGTGTGAGCTCGTGAGCTGTCGCGTTCGGACAGGTCCCTGCTGTGCTGACCACATGATCCTGGCAGTGGCCGACAACCTCCCAGGGCTGTGCTGGCAGCGCCGGGTAAAGCCTTCACCCAACTCTTTAGTGGGCTGGTGTCCCCTAAAAATGTACATCCACGTCCTAACTGCCGTTACCCGTGACCGTGAAGGATCTCGGGATGTGCTCACCCTGGGTTAGGGTGGGGCTGAAATCCAGTGACCCGTGTCCTTCTAAGAGAGGAGATCTGAGACACGGAGGCTCACAGGGAGGTCCTGTGAGGGGGACGGGGCCTGGAGTAAGGCTGTCAGGAGCAGAGGAACGCCCAAAGTCACCAGAAGCTGGCAGAAATACGAAAAGATCCTACTTCTCCCATACTGCTGTTCTTGGAAACGAACGTCGCTCACGTCAACACAACCTGGCCTGCCTTGGGGAGTGCTCAGGCCAGGCCCAGGGACCAAGACACGCATCCATCTGAGACAAGCCACCCAGGGATCTGCCCTTTTTCACAAGAGGAACATGGCACCAAGTCACAGCTCCCTGAGGCCTCCACCTTCAGATGGCCTGGGGGTTTCTTCCATGGCCTTGAGATTCCTGCCCTTGTGAAGGGCCAGTGTTCAGAAACTTCAGGATGGCGGTGAGAGATGCGTGCGGAGAACACAGGCCCACAGTTTGAAGGCATTTGGGAGGTGGGGCAGTGGGGCCTCCCCCTCCATGGGTTTCTGGGTGGTACAGGCACCAACCACAGCCCATTATCTCATTTCAACACAAGGTCCTACTGATCGCGAGGAGCTCTTTGTCCCAGCCCCCTGGAAGTATCTAGGAGAGACGATGGGTCACAGATGTTGTCACATCTCATCAAAGTCTGGGTGGGGACCACCTCTCAGGTCTGCCTCATCTCCACTAGTGCACACACACACTCAAGGGATGCCAGCTTGCGGCAGGCCAACCTGGATGCTCGCGCTGCGGACCACAACTTGGGCGGGCATCACATCATCCCTCCCTCTCCTCGAGCTGGACCACCCCGGGTCCTCCTCTGCTCCAGCGAAGGCAAAATTCTTCCCGTGTTTTCTTTTGTCTAGCGCAGAACACCTTTCTCTCACCTCTCCAAAGCAGAGCTTCATCCTTTGAAGGAACACTGGATTTTCTGACTCAGCTGAAGAGTTCTGAGGCAAAAAAAACTTTGATCTTCTTCCAAAGCATATGGCTAACCAAGCACAAGAAGCCGAGGGACTCCTCAGGATTCAGAATTCAAATGAGCCTGGTCTGAGAGATGGCAGAGAGACGGCAAGAAGGGTCCCTGCAGAAGTGCAGCCCCAGGGCTCAGCCAAGAGGCTCTCCCGAGAATGAGCTGAAGCCCGGGCCAAGGCAGTCAGGGCCCCCTCCCCCTGGGACAGGGCCAGAGCTGGAAAGCGCCGCTCTCACCGCAGGTTCCTCCACCTCCTCGTAGCAGACACTTCCATATAGAACGGTCAGTAGCATCCTTGGTCTCTGCCCACTGGATGACTATGTCCCCCATACAAGGCAAAACTGCCTGGGATTGAGAAGCACCGCTCCAGGGAAACCTGCTAGAACGGGGCTGGGCCGCGACAAAGAGCCCCAACCACTCAGGCGCACTCTGAGCCTCTGGGCGGGGGCGGCACCAGGGAGGAAGGCGCCACTGTCCGAGACAGAACCACGCCATCCTGATGTAGAAGGTTCTATGGCTGGGTTCCCCAGATCCTGGGTGCTTTAGCCAAATTCAATAGGCCTTTTTCAGTCAGGTTACACATACCAAACCTTGGACATTTCATTCCATGGTGATTTGAAACTGCACTTAAAACGACACCAGAATTCACGGAGCAGAAAAGCAAGCATGCGGAATTGTGTGATCAAATCCCCGAACACCAGCGCGAGCCGCTCATAAGCCACTCTGCACACCACCAGGAGCCCCCTGGGACACCAGGAATACGAAGTCCCATGTAACCGGCTCGCTGGCCCCAGCCAACCTTGGACTACAGGCATCTAGAGGCCTGGAGCTGGACCTTTTGGTGACAGGGGACTCCCCTGCTACCCCCGCCCTGCCTTCCCGTGCTGGGAACAGTGGAGGAACCTGCCCTTCACACTGCTGGTGGGTCAGACACCCAGGCCTACGACAGGCACAGAGTTTCTTTTTCTTTATTTGTCTACATTCAGCTTAATTCAGATGTATTGTCTGAACGATCCAGACATACAAAAACCCCCACTCTTTCCCACTGGTTTTTAAAATAAAATCTTCACTTATAAAACTGAAACACTAAAGCATTAAAATACAGAAAGCTCGTTTAACTCACTTCACAAAAGCATTAACAGATAATGTATCCCTTCTGTGGCTATTTAAAGACAAACTGAGTTAACACGAACACCAACCGTAAATAGACAGAGGGATACGGAACTGCAAGAACTCAAAACTCTACTCGGACAAAGTTGTGATGGCAACTAACAAACCATTGAAGACACGGAAGCCCCAAACACGGCTAAATATGGGTCACAGGACGGGCCACGGGGGTGACCAGCTGCACCTCACGACACGGCAACGTGGACAGGTTGGGGCGGAGGGGGCCTGGAGGGGCCAGCTGACATGTTAACTGTGATGCATAAAACTGAATCTTACAACGAGGGGTAAGTGCAGAAGGTACAAATCTTCACCCCTCGGGGGGCTTTATCTATACTGGTAGTTCATGCTGTGGTCTGCGTTTCTGCCGTAGCCGCCCTGTGAGGACTGGTAGGAGCTGGGAGGGCCGCTGTAATTCTGGCCGGACCCCGGGGAGTTGTAGTTTGATTGTGACGAGTAGCCTCCTGGGGAAGAGAGGGGTGGGTTAGAGGTGAGGGGCATGGGGCCCGCCCTGTGAGCAGAGCTCAGGACCACGGCCAGCACCCGAGCCGTGTTGTGTTCACATCGTGTCCATGGGTGAGAACACATCAGGAAGCAATACGGGCACGGCCTCTCGCTCTGTGCCTTTCCTGGGTCATCAGGGCTGGCAGTCACCAACACCCTGTGAGGCGACCACCGGACCTGGTTCGTAAACAGTGGGGATCTGTCCTGTACAGACCACGGCAGCAGGAGGAGTCTCTAGGGGCTGCCCAAGCCCAAGGCTGGGCCTGAGGCCCCCAAACCAGAGACCACACAGCAGACTGTCTGGGCCTCAGTGTTGCCAGCATTTTTCCATACAGGACATCTTCCCTAAGACCAGGGCAGCATCTGGACATCTGGCTTCTAAAAAGCCAAGAAGGGGGAGGTATGCCTAAACCTGTGTGCCCACGTCTCCCTTCCTGTTCCCCCACACAGAAGCCAGATGGCAGGTGCCACCACAGCCCCGCCTACGCTACCCACCTGCCCACGCCAGGCGGTGCCCCTCATCACCGGACCTCCCCCCTCCACCCCCGCACTGCACCACCTGCTGATCCAGGCCCACCTTGTTTGCCTTGGTATGAGGAGCCGCCCCCAGAACCGCCGCCGTAGCCCCCGTGTGACCCTGGGTTGTAGGACGACCCGCCTGAGCCGTAGCTGTTCCCGCCGCTCCGGCCTCCACTACCACTGTAGTCTGGGGGAGAGAAGATAATGTGGTTAAGGGGTCTTGGCAAAGGCACAGCTGGGGGGTGGTCCAGGATTCTCGTACTATGGCCCTGGAAGTGGCAGGCCCTAGGTTAAAACCACAGGCCTTTACAAATCTCCCTGTCCCATCTGCTTCAATCTGGCACACACCAGTTGGACTGAGAACTGCCAAGGGCCAGCTGTTGCCCTGCAAGGCCATCGTGCCTTGGGTCAGCCCGCTCACCAAGCCTGGAGGCCCAGATGCATCCTGCCTCCCCACTTTCTCCTCCAACCCAAGCTTCCCAGCAAGTCAGGAACCACAAAACAGCTCCCTTTCCTCCCACCCAGCTGTCACCAGGCACTCAGTGTCCCTTGGCCCCCACAAAGAGAGCACGGCTTCTTTAAAGTCCCTGGCCCGCCTGCGAACCAGTGTCCCATCACAGAAGACAAGCGCACACCTGCGCCTTCCTAGCTTGGCCACCAGCTCAGCTGCAAACTGCCGGGGGCGTGCAGGAGGCAGAGGCCCAGGCAGAGCAGAAAAGTGACTCCAGCTCCTTGGGGGCCAGAGGCAATGCTGTCTCCAGAGCCCATCCCTAGAGGTCCCCTCACAGCAGCTGGCCCAGACTCGAACCCCACCCTCGTGCCCCAGCCTCAACCCACAGGCTTCCTTGGCACAGGGGTCTCTGCTAGGCCCGCCTTCAGAGAAAGCGACAGGAAGGGAACGGCAAGGATCTGAGCCAGGGGAACTCTGCCTCCAGGATTTTCCTAAAGCCCGCCCGGCTTCCTTCCAGTCCCTCAGCAAAAGGTCAGGGCAACGGCTGGGCTTCCGCCACTCCACGGGATGCACCGCTGGCCTGGACCCTGGCCAGGCCTCGGGGCCACAGCAGCTGGCCCAGACTCGAACCCCACCCTCGTGCCCCAGCCTCAACCCACAGGCTTCCTTGGCACAGGGGTCTCTGCTAGGCCCGCCTTCAGAGAAAGCGACAGGAAGGGAACGGCAAGGATCTGAGCCAGGGGAACTCTGCCTCCAGGATTTTCCTAAAGCCCGCCCGGCTTCCTTCCAGTCCCTCAGCAAAAGGTCAGGGCAACGGCTGGGCTTCCGCCACTCCACGGGATGCACCGCTGGCCTGGACCCTGGCCAGGCCTCGGGGCC